AAAAGAGATGCTGTGAGGAACGTGGGGGGCTGGTTCTGAGGGGGGCCGCTGTACTCCCTTTGTCTTGAGATAAGAAGAGAGTCTGCCATGCTGGGAAAGGTATCCCATGAGGATACACACAGCAACCCTAAGCTGCAGACTAAGTACTCGTGACACAACCCTCTTGGCTGGCCCACACTCACTCCATACTCCGGTTTGAAAAAACCCTGGTTCTCCCACCACTGGTACCAGGCGGCCTCAACGTATTGTGGGCTGTAGGAGTCAGGCATTGGGCTGGCGACATCTAGAAGGGAAAAGCAGAAAGGTCTTGTGAGCAGGGGAGGATGCCTGATTAAGTGAAAAGCTTGTGGGGGGCACGTGTGTAATAAGGGGGACCCCAGCGGAGGACAAATTCAGCACACACACGGGCCCGGGCCCAACCTTTGGCCACTCCAGTTGAAAAAAGGATCTCGGGAAGCAAGGCGAAGACAGACCATCTGCCAGTTGGAGCAAACAGGACTGGGCTAGACTGTGACCTCCTGAATTCACACAGTACTCAAAAGCCCCACGAGCCTCACCCCAGAAAGGAAGGAATGTGAACACTTTTTAAGGAACAATACAATTGTACATAGATCAAGATGGGTAGCTGTGTTAGTCTGTCTGTGGCAGCAGGAAAGGGCAAGAGCCCAGTATAGCATCTTAAAGACTAACAATATTTATAGCAGGGGCAGGAGCTTTCGTGAGTCACTGCTCACTTCTTCAGATGCATCTGAAGCGCAGGGGTGTGCCTGACTGATCCCGGGATCTTCTGGTGTGACGTCATCGTGCCAGGCACGTTGTGCGGGGGAGTCTCTAGCATTTCGGCAAAAAACTCTATGGTCACCACAGACTTTTAATCCAAATGCTAGCGTGTTCCTGGCGTGATGACGTGATCGCTCCAGGCACATTGCGCACAACGGGGCTCTTTGGGGGCGGGTCTCCCCCGCTGGCCAGCTGGCCATCATTGGATTGGGGGCCCCCGAAAGCAGGGAAGCCCCACCCCCATCAGGGGGACAGCAAACGTAATCTAAAGAAGTGAGCAGTGACTCACGAAAGCGCCTACCCTGCCACAAGTTTTGTTAGTCTTTAAGGTGTTACTGGACTCCTGCCCTTCTCTGCAATGGAGCGTGCATATCCTTAGCTCTCATTTTACTGAGTGTCACTTGGTACTAAGCAGCTTCCTCCATCTGTTGTTGGGTGGGGTAGAAAGCCGTATCAGGCAAAGGGGCAGCCACCAGCTTAAGTGGCTTCCAAAGGGAACCAGAGACATTTGCATAGGCCAGATCAGCTATTAGCTGTAAGAGCTAGGCTGAACCTCCGTATTCTGAGGCAGCGTACCTCTGGATATTATCAGGAGGGCACAGCATGGGAAGGCTGCTGCTGTTTTCGAGCCCTGCTTACGGGCTTCCCAGAGGAGTTTACTTGACCACTCCGGGAAACAGGGATGCTGGCCCAGATGGAGCCTTTCTCGGATCCAGAACTGTCTGCCTTCTGTTCCTAGAAGCTCCAGTCAATTCCACCCACAAACCTCCAGGGTGCCTCTTCACCATCTACAATACCTTTTTTCTCCCCGGGCCTGGTTGGGATGTCGTAGGTGATCACTCCAAGATCTCTTTTCTCCTTCTTTTCAGCTTTTGGCTTCTTCTGCAAAGATCCAACACCGAGGGCAGGCAAGGAGAGAAAGATAACTGGCTTCAAATGCAGCAAATCCCTGTTCCCTCTTTTCCTGAAGCCAGGCAAGTCTGTTCTGCCATTTTAAACCCTAGCTCACCCTTTACTCACTAAACCACAACTCGGTACTGAGGGCGACACTGGCCATCACGCCCTGAAGATGCAAACTTGGCACATCAGAGAGTAGGGAGGCAAGAATCCCTCCTAACGTGCTCGCTTTCCACGTGTGTGTGTGTGTGGGTGGGGGGGTCTGTCTTGGGTAGGGTTCCCAAGTCCGTTTTTCTTCGCGGCGGGGGCTCCCAGACGGCATCCCGAGCACACGCGCGCATAGCGCACACACGCCACATGCATGTCAGCCGGATGTGACGTGATGATGCCGGGCATGCTGGGGGCGGGGCCACAGCCGAGGGGAAAACCCGCCCCCAGCGTGCCCGGCGTCATCACGTCACATCCGGCTGACGTGCACGCCGGGGTGGGGTTCTCCCGGGGCCCGATTCTGCGGCAGCGGAAATCGGGCCTCCAAAGCGGGGGATTATCCGCCCCCCGGGGGGACTTGGCAGCCCTAGTCTTGGGGGAACACTGCAAGAAAGCAAACTCAGCCCCATCCACCCCCGCCCCCATCCTGAACCCGTACAATCCTGGATTTTTCTGAACTTGCTCTTAAGGCTGCAGCTCCGGGCTGGGAAATACCTAGAGATTTCAGGGGTGGAACTTGAGGAGGGCTGGGTTTGGTGAGGGGAGGGGCTTAAGTGGTATAGAATATCACAAAGTCCACCTTCCAAAGCGGCCATTGTCTGTAAATGAACTGATCTCTGTCGCCTGGAGATCAGCTGTAACCCCAGGGGCTCTCCAACCACCAGCTGGGGGTTGGCAACCCTATTTAGGACACAATTCTGACCTCCCCCTGCTGCTGCTGCTGGCTCTTTTCCTTCTTCTGCTGAAACTTCTCCAGTTTCTCTTTCTTCTTGGCCTCCTTCTTCAGCTGGGACGCGCTTTTGGGCGGTGGCTCCGTCTGCTGCCTCTGCTCTGGCAGTTCTGCTGTGGGGCATGCTGCAGGCACTGGAGAGGGAGACGGAGAGAGCGCGCAAAGACCAATGAGGCCACCCAGCTGTTGAAACACCACAAAAACTGAATGGACTGAAAGGAAAAGAACACGTGCTACCAAGAGGCAGATCCCACAAGGAGGCCAGCCAAGGAGCTCCCAACCACCGTGCCCAGCCTCTCCTCCCACCGATCTGTCTCCTCCACAACCTTGACCCTACCTCAACCTCCTTCTCCAGTTGCCTCTGTATGTAAGCCATGGCGGCTAATCTCCTTGGCTCTCTCACTCTCCCAGGCCTCTTTTTAAAAAGCCACGACGGGCCACACACAGCTGACAGGGCTTCCCAAGGTCTCCCAAAGTTCCTTCTTCTCACCAGAGTCCAGCTACCATTTTGGTTGCCCTGGCAACAGGTAACTACAATAAAAAATGGCAGCCAAACTCTTGGCAGGGGGAGGAATCTAGCATGGATTCAGGAAGCTCGGTAGGAATCCTGCTTCCTCCCTAGGGCTGTCACGCAGTTATCTGCACATGTCTACATACACATAATACCAAATGGGACATTCTTTGTTCTTATATACATAGCAGACAATTGTATCTTAGTAGCTGGTTGATGGCGGCATGCTCACGGACTCACCTCCCGGACCTCCCAGGGGTGTCTCCGTGCTCCGGCGGACGGAGGGGGTGAGCAGGCTCATAAACCCCCCCAGGAGCCCGGGGATGGGACCCTGGCCAAGGAGCTTTGAGGGGGTAGCCTCTTCTCTGGCCGAATGCCAGAGAATTGAGGCTCCCCCTATCTCCAGTGGTCCGTCCAGCTGAGAGACCTGATGGTACAAGTGAAGCTAGCCGGGTCAAGCACAGGAGAT